TAAAACACACAGTACAACATTCTCGTTAATTGAATTCCATATGGTGTGAAAAACATGAGCAAGTGCTCCATATGCAACACACTTAACGACAACATTACTGTGATCAATGTATAATAACATATTTTAGAAAATATCAATATACTAAGTAAATCATTTTGTTAAAAATCTAGAAAACTTACTCCATGTTTAGTAGAAAAAACGTATTTTATGGTCCATGAAACCATTGTTTGACTGAGTAGGTTCCGTTATATATTCTTCAAGAAATCCTACTCCTACTATAGCTCCATAAACATCTGCGTGATATTTTATCAAAGTATTACCAATATATAACTAATGAATAAATATTAACATAATAATCTTCATTATAAAATATAAAAGGACTAATATATTAGATAGTAAAGAACAAATACCAATAGAAAATTTAGGATGGACTAAGCCATGATAGAGATCGTCAAAGTGTGGAAAAGAATAATAGTTCACCATGGGAAAATTATCGATCTTGGAAATGCAGGATGATCTATCGAGGTTAATGTGATGAGGGTTCTTTGACAAACGAAGACGCTCTGTTGCAGGAGTTAGAGTGAAATTTTTAATTTCATAACAGTGACCTTCCTCCAATGGCATGTCAGTGAAAGCGGTTAAATTTCCGGAAAACGTTGCTTGAATGGTGTTTCCCTGTTGAAAAGCAGTATAAACAGGTTAGTAAATTGTCAGCAAAACGGACATATAAAATCGCACTCGAGTAAGAGATTATATAGCTTACCTTTTCATCTCCTAATATTAGTGGTGATTTCTGAAACGTTGAGAAAACTTCCCCACCAGTTCTCTTTTCACGGTTCCAGCTATTTTGTCTCCCTAGAAAAAATTATTAAATTAAATAAGTAAACTTCATACGGAAAAAAAAAGATCATATGAACAAAACTCAATCATTTCTAAAAAAATTAACTTACTCTAACATCGAGGAAGACCATTTCGATAGTCTCCCCAGCAGCTGCAGAATACTCTTTCCAAAGGCGGACAATTTTCACTTGAACCTTCCATTGGTTCTTGAAAGGCTTCAACTCAGATATAAGGTTCATGGCGGCCATAGAAGATGTGTAGGTTTTTTCTTGCTTGTCTGAATATCGAATGGACATTTACAACTCGAGTTTTCTATGTTTAAATAGCATTTTCAATTGTGATTTGTGCTTGTCTATCAAGGAAATTCCAATTTATGCCTATATCATTTAATTG